CGCCCGCCTGCCCACCCTCGGCGGCAACTCCCCCCTCCCCTCCCCTCCCCTCCCCTCGGCGGCTTGGCCCCCGCCCCGTCCCCCTCGCCTCGGGGGGCGGAGCCACCTGCCGCCGGAGCAGGCCGGCTCCAAAGGGTGGGCGCCTTTATAATAAGAGGCGAGGGTGGTGCCGCGGGTGGCGGGAGAACTTGCTTGGGCGCTGGGCGCGGGTCAGGGTCAGAGGCTGAGCGGCCGGCGGAGCAGCGAGCGCGGAGGCAGGAGGGAGCCATGGAGCCCAGCGTGGATGTAAGTGAGGGGGCAGGAATGACTGGCTGAATGAATGAACCACCGAACGGGAGAGGGAGCGCGCCGGTGCTGGCGAGGCGGGACTGGAGGTGCCTCCCTCAAGCCGAGACGGGGGATCCCGACAGCCGGGTGGGGTGAGGCGGAGACCCCCCCACACACACACACACACACACACACGCCGTCCGCCGGGAGCTGTGGGTGCCTTGCGCTGCGGACTGGTAGCGTTGTTGGGGGGGGGGATGCCGGTTGCTTTCGCACCGTTCGCGTAGCAGATCAGTTCCTTTCGCGATCAATCACTTCCAGCGGCGCCCTAGAATAACCTTCGGACCTCGCTCGGAAATGGGGAGGGGGATTTCTGGGGTGCAGCTCATCCCTCTGTGTGTCTCTGTGTGTGTGTGTGTGTGTGTGTGCGTGCGTGTGTGTGCGTGTTAGTGCAAGCGGGAGCGCCTTGCCTTGGCCCCCGAGGAGAAAAGAAGAGCGGGACAGAGTTTTGCGCAGGAAAGTCATCCAACTTTGGCCGTCCTGTCGCTTTCGGGGGGGGGGGGAGCGGCTGCCGGCCGGGGAAGCCGCCTCGGAGAGGGGCAGGATGGCATTCCCTTGGTCGGTGAGGGCGCTTCTTTCTGAGGATGGGGGGGTGGGGTGCGTGGCGGCGCCGCGGACGCGATTGGCACCCTCGGCAAGGCTTTTTGAGCGGCCGAGGGGAGTTGGTGGCCGGAGAGTTCGCCGCGGGTGGCGGGAGAAGACCAAGTCGCCTCCTCGGCCCGCTTCTGTTTTCCTTCCGATCTCTTTAGCCGCTTGGGGAAACGGGTGAAGAAGCGAGGTGTAAATCACACAAATAAACACAAACGCGAGCTCTGGGGGAGGGGGGCAGATCTCGCCAGCTCTGCTCTGTTTACCTGCCTGTCACCTGCTTCTGTTGGCGTTGAAAGCCGCTTGTGGAGAGAAGCGGGGACCTTGGATTTCAGGAAGGCTCTCGCGGGATGCTGCAGAAAGTTGCGGGCGGTTAGCAGTGGTTACTACACTATAGGCGACGAGAAGCACTGAAACTTTAACTGGGGATGTGGAGAAAAGTTTAAAAGTGGCTGTCCTCCCTTTGGCTGTTCAGTGAGCTTGCCTTCCCTTCGCTCCAACTTCTTCCCGACTTTCTTGCATTCTTAAAGAACCCAGAGTAGGATGCAGAACTCTGAAGTCCCATCAAAAAAAATTCTGAATAGATTTTGTTTGTTTGTTTCATTCTTGGGATATTAAATGGAGAAGCAATCCTTATGGATTGATCTTTGGGTGCTCTGTCCTCCTGTTTTCTGGGTTTCCCCACTGGAAACCTAATGTCTGACCCGGAAGGTTCTTCTGTTTGCAAAAGTTCTACAGCCCACATTGATACAGTCTGATTTCAATTGGCTTACAAGCCCATTTTTAATAGTTCTCTGAGTTGTGCTGGCAAGGAGAGCATTTTTTTTTCAGCAAGGGATGGGAAGATCTCAGTGTCTCAAAGAATTGGGCGTTACCCATGTGGCCACTCCCTGCTTTGCTTTGCAGCCTGAATTTCAAACTGCTTGGTGGTTTCCTGAGATACCACTTCTCTCTTTTTCTTTTTCTTCTTCTTCTTCTTCTTCTTCTTCTTCTTTGTACTGGCGGGTACAGAAGTCTCCCTTCCCTCCTTCTCATGCTGTGCCCTGAGACAGGGCCATCCTGAGGAAACAGAGTTGGCTCAGTCTTAAGACTCCACAGCTGTGGGCCTTTGCATCTTGATCAACAATAACATTGCCACACCTTTTATTACTGTTGCTTCAAATCCTTCACTGCTTCAAACAAGGAGTAGCAACGAAACCATAAAGGTTGATGCTTAGCTGGTAATTATTTTGTTAGTTGTAATAAAGACATTATATCAATTTAGGATTATGTTTTAATGCTCCCCCCCTCCACCCTGCAACCAACCAAGCAACATGCTGCCTGGTGTGTATATATCAGCCTTATAAATCAGTCTGCAGAGGCTGAGGTGGAGAAAGTTACTCCCAAAGTTGTTCTTTGAAGTTAGGTTAGCTTTTCTAAGTTCTAAAAAAGAATTGCTAGCCTATTAAAAATCATTAGCCTGCTGGGGGACTGGAAAAGTTGGATTAGTGAGTACATTTTGATGCTGGGCATGGAGGAAGAGGCTCCCCTGGTGGGCCACTTGGTTCATGTGCTATGTTTACTGCATCCTTCCTTAGCCAACCCTTCCAGTCCATGTGGTATTCTGTGTGGTTCCTCCTAGCAGCCTTTGGCGGATAGGCTAGTACATCCTAACAAAGGCTCTTCTTCAAGCTGAAGTTTGTGTTTGTTCACTATAACTCTATGGGAGTTTCATCTCCTTACCAGAGAAGTGATCATAATCCTTTTCTTAGGATCCTGCTGATGATATTATCCAGAACTGCATAGTAAAGCACGCTGCTTAAAAGTTTACTGACCAGTGGCAGCTTTTCTGAGTATTGTATTTAAATCCTAACACCAAAGGGAGTATACTCAAGGCAATTTGCATGGACTGACCAGTGGCAGCTTTTCTGAGTATTGCATTTACAGTAAATCCTAACACCAAAGGGAATATAGTCAAGGCAGTTTGCATGACTGTAAGCATCATTGTATGTCTCAGAGTTTGTTTGTTTGTTTGTTTGTTTGCCTATCTGGTCAGTTTAAGTTACTTTTGGAGTACAACTCCCATAATCTCCAGCTTGTATGTCTCAGAGTTTGTTTGTTTGTTTATTCTATTTATGCCCTGCCTATCTGGTCAGTTTAAGTTACTTTTTGGAGTACAACTCCCATAATCTCCAGTTGCTGGAGTATGGAAGGTATATTTGGGAGGGGAAAAAATAACTTTGCCAGACTCTAGTCATCTGGAACAGAAAGACTCAATGTGTATTGTGGGGACCTGCTGTGGCAAGAAGCACTTTCATACAGGAAAAGCCCTGCAGGCTGCGTGTGGAGTGCCCGTGTATTGTTGGCGCACTGGAGAGCAGTGATTGGCCACAGGCATGTGCACACTGAGTGCCTACTACATTCAACAGGTGCCCTTGTTACTTTTGCGGCTCTTTCTGAAAATGGTTTGCAAGCCTGAATTCCTTGCCTTTCAAGTGTGCTTTGGAAAGTTGAGGTGATGTGGCTGAAAACTGATTCGTTCTGCCTCCTCCTCCTCCTTCTCCTCCTCCTTTGGTCCTCCTGCCTGTGAGCCTGGTGAGCTCCAGCTTTTCCAGTTCACTGATGCTTACAAACTAGAAGATTTAATTTAGAAACAAAATCTCTACCCTGAAGTCTGCAGTAAGATTGTGAAATTGTTATGGATGCACAATGCAATGCAGTGGAATAAGTGATTGCTTTCATTTCTCTTTTGTCTCAGAAGAATTATTATATAAAAAGTGTTGTCCCAATGTTGTTTCCGGCATGCTCCTTTCCCTAAAAGAAAAGGTTACTAGGGAATGGGTTTGGTCTTTTCTCTCCCTCCATTTTCTAATGACTTTTCTTTTGTTGTTTCATTACAGATGTCTTCTGAATTCTTTATTTTTATGTCCGATAATAGTACTGATGAACCAGGTTCTGGTGATGATGGGAATTACCAAGAGGTTTGCTTGCAAGAAGAGAACGCTGATTTCAACCGCATCTTCTTGCCCACCATCTTCTCTATCATCTTCTTGACAGGAATCATTGGCAACGGCCTGGTGATTGTCGTCATGGGCTATCAGAAGAAGTTGAGAAGCATGACGGACAAGTACAGGCTCCATCTCTCGGTGGCTGACCTGCTGTTTGTCATCACTCTACCTTTCTGGTCTGTGGATGCTGTGATCAGCTGGTATTTTGGAAGCTTCTTGTGCAAAGCGGTTCATGTCATTTATACTGTCAACTTGTACAGCAGCGTCCTCATCTTGGCCTTCATAAGCCTAGATCGGTATCTGGCAATTGTACACGCTACCAACAGCCAGCGACCCAGGAAGCTGTTGGCTGAAAGGATTGTCTATGTTGGTGTTTGGTTGCCAGCTGTGCTTTTGACGGTGCCTGATATAATCTTTGCCAGCACCAGTGAGGTTGGCGGGAAATATGTCTGCCAGCGATTTTACCCTCATGACAACTGGATGATTTCCTTCAGATTTCAGCATATCTTAGTAGGTTTGGTCTTGCCTGGTCTTATAATACTGACTTGCTACTGCATTATCATTTCTAAGTTGTCCCACTCAAAAGGTCACCAGAAGCGCAAAGCCCTGAAGACTACCGTCATCCTTATTGTTGCCTTCTTTGCTTGCTGGCTGCCCTACCACATTGGCATCAGCATTGACACCTTTGTCCTCCTTGGATTCATCGACAACGGCTGTAACTTTGAGGCAGTCCTCCACAAATGGATCTCCATTACTGAAGCCCTGGCCTTTTTCCATTGTTGCCTCAATCCCATTCTATATGCTTTTCTAGGTGCCAAATTCAAGACCTCAGCCCAAAACGCTTTGACCTCTGTTAGCAGAGGATCAAGTCTTAAAATCCTGTCCAAAGGCAAGCGAGGCGGACATTCTTCTGTGTCGACTGAGTCTGAATCTTCCAGTTTCCATTCCAGCTAACAAAGGAGGTCTTCTATTTTCCCTCAATGTTTGTAAAAAGTGGAACTCTTGTACATAAACACACTCCACAGGATTTTGGAGGAAAGCATCCTCTAAGATCATGGATATGATTATTCCCAGTTGGAATATTATATTTGTTTAGTTTTCTGTAGACTTATTTATAAAATATAAAACAAAAGCTGTACATGTTGATAAGAGAGTATCTAGGCAGGACCTGAGAATATGTGATTGGTTGACAAGGTTCATTGTTTATCTGTCTAGTTGTACAACTGTTGGATCTTAACACTTAGAGCATAGCATATCTGATATGTGTGAGTTGTTTGTATATAAAAGAAGTATTTCCAATATACTTGTTGGCAAAAAGGCATACTCTTCTGTATTAAGGACTCTATCCCAAATTGCATAAGCAGTTACAGTTTACAGTAGTTTAACTCCACAAACTTACTAAAGGCAGTATCAAAATGAATTCAACTTGAATGCAGCTTGATTGCACCCAAGGGTGCTTACAACCAAAGTATCTTCTCACAACTTTTTTAAAATTTGGGAACAAATTGGTTTGCAAATGTCTGCCATTGTACAGTTGTAAATAAAAGTGTGTGACAAAGGGAACTACTTGAAATACTGTTTTTATTTTACCTCCTTTAACTCATTTTGAGTTTAATTCCTTTCATCTGATTTTGGCTTTCAGTTGCTAATGTATTTTCTCGTAGATGGAGATTCTGAACAAAAGAATGGACAGGACTAGACACTGGAAAACGTTCGCATAAACACACAACATTTAGCTATGACTAAATGTCAATATCCTGTTGCTAGCCCCATCTAGAGTAGACTTACTGGCTTATTGAGATTCACTTAAGCATTAAAGAGGGAGACAAGAAACATAGAGAGAGAGAGAGAGAGAGAGAGAGAGAGAGAGAGAGAGAGAGATGAGAAACTTACCTTCAACTTTCTTGGCTAGAAAATGGAACATCTGGATGAATGCAAAAAAAAAAAACAGCCATCCAGAAATAGGCCATGCCCTAAATCTGAGGTCAAAACAGAGAAATAAAATAGTGAGAACTGGATAATTAGAACACTTTGTGTGCCTCTCCCAAGTCATTGTGATTAAACAATTTGCTCAGTATTATAAGATGGTCTCTTTTTTATCTGAGATCAACATAAATCTTTTTCTTCTCAAGGTCAGTTTCTGGATATGTGCCCTGACTAATGAAACAAACTGTTCACACCAAACCCAAACTGCTCTGTGTGTGGTTTTCATGAGATGCCAGTGATTCACTTTATTGTTTGTACATCCTTGCAAAGTAGTACAAGCCCACCAGCTCCCCCTTTTGCCTTCTGCCCTTTCCCCCCTACTCCTCCTCTCTGTCTCAACAGTCTGTTGCTTCCCGATCAGCTTCCCCTAACAACCATTCTTTCTTTCTGGTAGAACCAGTTTAGAGAAAACACCACCAGTGTTCCTTCTCTAAGCCAAAAAAAAGAGAGCGAGTACTGTGGTGTTACTTCAAATTATGGCATTCCTCTCCTCACCTTGAGGAGCGTTACAACAAGCAAGAGAAGTAGAAAGTGCTTCTATCAGCTGGCGAATAACGAGCTAGAGTATCAGACTGGACTTGGGAGACTAAGGTTCAAGTCCTGTCTTAAGCCATGAAACTCACCAGGTGACCTTGGGCCAAATGCCTCTCTGTCCTCCTGAAACAAGCTCACAGGGCTGTACTGAGAATAATATGGAGAAGGTACAGCATACGCATAATAAGCTGCTTTGTCTGAAGGACTGAGGTGTGAAATCCAGTCAACAGCTTCCTCGGCTGTAACTCCACACCTCCAATGCAGCCTGCATCTTTCCTAGCTTACATCTAAGAGACATGTCTGGCAAAATCCCTCTGCCATGAACTACTGGGACTCTTCTTTACACTACCCACACCAACACAAGGCTCCTGGAGTTTCCACAAAAACTAGCAGATAGTATGATTTCTTTAGTAGTCTACAAACATATTGCCTTCTCCTGCATTTGTATGAGGAAGAAGGAAGCTAAGTATACATCCTCAGCTCATTCAGGGAAAAGCAGGATATAAGTTTTTAAAAAACCACAACAAAACCCAAATAATCTCTTGTGCTCACTGCTGGAACTTAACATTTGAACCACAAATGTGCAGCATTTATAGTAGCTGCCACAATGGCAGCATAATCCATTTTATCAGCCCTCTGAAACTAAATGGAGTAGAAAGTTGTCTGTATTTGTAATAAGCCTCCACTCAGGAAGAAAAAATCCCTTTAAGCCCCTTTGCTTACAGTGATCATCTTCCTGGGAGGAGACTTTAACCAGCTTTGGGTGAGTACCCGCCCTCCCCTGAGTATTTCTGCAGGCTCTGCCTAATAGCTGAGTGCAACCAATCGGACAGACAACCCAGATTGTTTTGAAAGGGAGCTTTATAGTTATATGATTCTACAAGATGAGGACACAGGCATCATTTCTCCCTCTCCTATTTCAAAACTGCACAGGTCCAATGAAACAAGACGGTGTAGGTTAAGGCAAAAGTAAATGCTGCACATGCCAGAAACGTGCAGGATTTGTTACCACAAAGTGCTATGATGATGCAGTCATTCCCATAAAGGCTTTAAGAAAGGACCGAACAATTTCATGGAAAATTAAATGAAAAATCACACATGTATGCTGAGGGCAGATTTTGGAAACGTTCCTTTTTTGGACTACAACTCTGCTGGTCTTTAATAAAAAGTGGGGCTACAACTCTCATCCCACCTCACCTGTGACTATGTGGATGGGCATTGCACTTAAAATGCTTAAAACATTGGTACTGTATCTGTGTTCTTCCCATCTAAATCAAAGGAAGCTGTTTTAAGTTCCGAACTGAAGGACGAGATGAATGCAAAGTGACAGAACTTTAAAGCAGACACAACAGGGGTAACTCCGGATCTCTTGAAAGGAAGATTACACAATAGAGATTCAGCCTGTGTTGAAGGGGGCTGCGCTCCCTTTCGTAATGATAGTTTGTAGTTTGGTTGTGGATTCTGGATTCAGCCTTTAATCTGGGTGCCCAGATGTTGACAGTGACAAGGAGTGCTTTTAGAAAATCAAAATTATTGTGTGAACCACTGTAGCAATTCCACATTAAATCCAAGTTACCACTGTTAATCACAACCCAGTCACTCACCACCATACCTATATCCAAGATAGATAGATATATATCTTGGACATAGGTATGATGGTGTATATATATATCTTGTGAATAGGCATGGCAGTGAGTGACTGGGTTGTGATTAACAGTGGCAACATGGATTTGTGCCTGAAGAGTCTGTTAAAACTGTGGCAAAAGAGGATAGAATGTGGGGTGATGAAACCGCAAGTTGATCAGTTGGTTGGTATACTGCCAGGTGTACTAAGTATACATAGAGGTGCTGGTTGATATATAAGGAGAGAGAGAGAGAGCAGTTTAGCTTAGTTTAGTTAGATGAGATAGAGACAGTCAGAGTCTGAAAGGGACTGGAAGATGTGAAGGATAAGAGTGAGAGCTGTGCTGTAATTAAGAGTTATGCTGAGGGTACCTGTTTTTGTGAAGAAGTTGTGGAAATATAGTGTGTTTTCATTGGAACTTGTGTAAAAGCAAGTATCCGTCTAGTGTGTGTGTTCGTGAAGAATTCTCTGTGAAAAAGACAGTAGAAAGAGTAAAAAGTGAGATTTCAGCTATACTGACAGTAAATTGACAGTTTATAATAATGCATCTCCTTATTATAGGCAAACTTACTTTTTGTTTTACAAATCCTGTTTATTTATATATTTTAAAAAATAACTGTCTTAAGATACTACATAACATATACCACGGGTCAATAATGGGACACATAGTCAAGGATACGCCACAAAAATAACGGAAGTTCTGTATGCATTTCACCAAAAGAGTTCTTATTCTTTTTTAAAGGGTAGTGAAAATTCAGACCTTACCCATAATGGGACACATAGTCAAGGATACGCCACCAAAATAACGGACGTTCTGTATGCATTTCACCAAAAGAGTTCGTATTCTTTTTTAAACGGTAGTGAAAATTCAGACCTTACCCATGGCAATGTTTAAGCAGCAGTGGAAAGGGAATATAGGTAGTTTGGCAGGGGAAGGAATCTATCTCACAAGTTAAACGGGAACCCCAAAGTTTGCAAAGGGATTTGAGAATGGCTGTCATTTGATGGCAGCATGTACCAGCTACAGGACAATGGGGAGTGAGACACCACAACTGTACCCATTCCTAGAGATTTATAGTCTGGCCACAATGCTTTAGGTACAGTCTGCTTAGATTCTTGGAATGTACTCTACATGGGGCTGCCTTTGAAAATGTCTGGAAACTTCGGCTGTTCCAGAATGCTATAGCCAGATAGCTGGCATAGGCCAGCATATGACTCCCCTGTTAAAACAGCTTTATTTGTTTGTGGGCCTAATTCAATATGCTGCTGCTGCTGACCTATAAAGCCTATGTGGCTTAAGCCTATCTGAAAGACTATTCTCCCATACAAGCCTGCATGGGCTTTGTGATCTGCGGAGGAGACACTTTGTGTGTAACTGATTTAAAAGGACAGGACCCAGTCCTTAAAAGCACCATCCACATGATCCAGAAAGAGTACAGCAAGAAAAAAGGCCTCTCCCTGCTAGTGAAAGGGCAACGGGAAGGAGTCCAGCCTAGCCTCTCTTGGAAGGGAATTCCGCAGCCCAGGTGCAACCATTGAGACATTTCCCTCTCAAATGGGTCTTTGACGGTTTGACATAAACTAGATGTGGTATACCTGTTCCATCCTCTGCTGGTGCTCTGGGACTGTGCAGCTTGTGAAAGGCCGCAAAGGTGGCAGAGCACATAGCCTCATCATCTGCACATGTTCCAGGTGATCTGAGCCCTCTCCCAGGAGACACAGTAGGGACCTGAACTCCTGGTTCTAGGTGCTCCAACCCATTGAACTATACCAGCACCTTAGAGCAAAGGCAGGCTATAAATCAAATAAATACATAAATCAGATATTTCAAATTCCCTAAGCATGATCTAATGCAGCTACCACTTTATAGAATGGTATACAGGATGGTGAAAGTATTTTCATATTCCTATCTCCCCAAATATATTTGTAGGTGACAAGTATATATACAAGACTTATCTCAGCTTGGCAGTGACATTGGCTGTATTATTTTCTTTCCCTATACTATCTTATAGGACTGTTGTCCATCCAGAAACAGCTTTCTGAGCTTCTGAAAGGGAATGGGGAATAAATAAAATACAGACATAATAAACATAGCAATTGGCAATACATAATATAATGAATACATGTACAGATCTGTCAATGTACCACTGAAATCCTTTTCCGTAGTCATGTTTGCAAAAGGTCAATGGCATAACATTCAGTAGCATCTGGCAGGCAATTAACAAATCACCACTGGAATTCTAGAGTTTGCACTAAGCCAATAAGTGCATGTCTCCCCAGTATCCCAGCAGTAACTTGTTAATTGCCGGCAAAAAGCAACTGAATATTATGCCATTTGCCTTTCAGAGGCATGAATTTCAGTAGGTGTGTGGTAAATAATATATCTGTCAAACGTTTAAAGCACGCTATAAAATAATGT